TTTAAGCGGACTAATTGCTTAGTTTCTTTTAAGAGATTGAGGGTGGCTAATAATTTAGCCTCTTCGGCTTTGAGTTCTAAGGATTTTTTTATTTTATCTATTTTAGCATCCTCGACCGAAGTATCTAATAATTGCTGGGTTTTAATAATATTTTCTAAGCGTTCATTTTCCCGTTTGGCTGCTTGACGAACTTTTTCTATTTCTTCCTTATTTTTTTGAACTTGTTTTGAACTTGGTCTTCTAAGTGGTCTATTTCTTGGCGAATGTTTTGGACTTCTTGGGTTAATTTATCTACTCGTTGATGGGCTTGTTGAGCGATATTGAGGGTTTGAGCGGTTCTTTGTTCTAGTTGAGTGGAGAGTTTATCCATTCTCAGGTGGACTTCTTCCTGAATATCTTCCATTTGCTGAGAAACTAAGTTTAATTTGCGTTGTTGGGCAAAAAGAATATCATTAGTTTCTTGTAATTCTTCGTAGATTTCTTGATTGAGGATGTTTTGCTTTTTTTGTTCGTATTTAACTTGGGCTAAATCTTCCTCGTGTTCGGCTAAGATTTCTTGGTTATCTTTAAGTTGAGTGTCCAGGTTTTTTGCTTGGGCTTCAAATTCTTCTTTGGTCTCTTCTAAATCGGCTTGATACTTGGCTTGTTGGGTGCGGAATTTGCTGTCGGTTTCGGCTTGATAGTCTTCAAAATCTTGCTGAACTTCTTCCATTTTCCGTTGGGTGGAGTGTTGGTATTTTTGGAAGTTTTCTTGGAGTTCGTCTTTTTCTTGTTGGAGATTATTGATTTTGGTGTTGGCTTGATTGATTTTATCTTTGACTTCTTTGATTTCAGCCTCTCGTTGGCGTTTTTCTTCCTCGATTTTGCGTTTATTTTCGAGAATTTTCTTTTCTTGTTGTTCGAAGCGTTCATTGACTTCTTGTTTGAAGTCGTCCAGTTCTTTTTTTAATTCTTCTTGAGCCTTAGTTAGTTGTTTAGTGGCTTCCTTAATTTGGCTTTCTAACTCTTGCTTTTGTTGAGCCATTTCGTTTTTACGTTCTTGCCTTTCCCTTTCTAAGTCCTTTTTCATTTGACCGGTAGCATTGGCAATTTTTTTGTCTAAGGCTTTTAATTCTTTATCGAATTTTTCTCCTTGCTGTTGGATGGCTCCTTCAAGTTCGGTTTTTATATTACCCATCTCTTCACCTAGCTTTTTACCTTGGGCTTCAATTCTGGCATTGGCATCATCGACCCCTTTTCTTACTCCATCGAGGTTAGTGGAAAGTTCACCTAATTTTTTATCTCATTCCATGCCAAGTTGGAA